GCTATTGTGCCCTCAATTCGGTGCTGCTAATATACCATAATTTCTTGGTAACATTGTTTTATTTGCATTAAGCTCCTGGCGCTGCCCACGCCATAAAGCGTTCAGGCAAACACTTGTGTGTCGCTTGTTATTTTGGAGAGGGAACTGCAAGTGAGGGAGATGCGCATGCAGGATTAAACTTTGCTGCCACGTTGGAAGTTCCTGTTTTGTTTATATGGTTAGTATAATAATGCCTTTTATTTTTATCTGTGAAAATGAAGCAATCTGATTGGCTGAAGAGCCTTTCAGAGCGGGCCGATTTTTTACATTCGAGCGGCTCTGAAACGCAACAGCCCACTGTGAAATACAACTGCCAGCTCTGTTTTCGCGCCAAAACCGATGGATAAAACAATTTATGAACTAAAAAATCTGCCCAAAACGTTTGAAAAACGTAGCATAAGGATAGTCAGAATACGAAAATGAATTGCATCAAGCCCTATAAATTAACACTTCATACCAACCACCAGAATTGAGAATAATTTGGGGGGAAATGCGACTGAGAGTTTTTTCACGCACAGTTCTTCTCACCCGGACCTCGCAGCCGGAAAATAACATATATATATATATATATATATATATATATATATGCTCTCTCTCGATGCTCATATATATATATACTTGCATATATATCGCCTGCTATATATATATATATATATATATATATATATATATATATATTTGGACAAGCAAACATATTTTGACAAGCTTGTCTGCTTATAAGAGTACGTTTATTATTCTGCGTGACCCGTTCCAGTTAGAATAATAGATAGGTTCAGAGTTGACTTCTACTACCACTTTTTCTCAATCAGATGCTTGGTATGCATCTGCATGATTGGTTAATCATGTATATCAAGCGTATCGGATTAGTTAATGGTCTCTTAATGGCAACCTCGTACCCAGGGCCAGTCGCAAGTTGAAGGCAGCGACATGGCCCTGGTAAACGCTGGTTACGTGTCAGGCAAATACTCCAAGATTCTTGGAGTATTAGCCCGCGAGCGGGCTTTATGGAAATAAAGACAGGGGGCGACGAAAAGTTCACGAATAGAACTTGAATTGCCGTGGATTATTTATATTCTTTTATTTTTTGTTGTAATCTTTATTTTTAATATGTTACGTTTATATATTACGTCGAATGTACATCAATCTTCATTTTATATCGCATAACCGAGGCGACGACGCGATGTTTCGACTTTCGAAGGACAATGGAGCCAACCTCGTACACACTATTTGTGATGATTTCCATCAAATATAAAAAGGTACAGTATGAATTTGAAAATGTGTAGAAGTATTTTATTGTTACAAATTATTTAGCAGATTCCCATGAGTTAACACGTGCACTCTTGCGAATATCTGTTACACTGACTAGCTCTATATGAAATATATATTTCGATTTTCGAAGGCTATATACAGTATGTTAATATAGTTAGCTGAATTTGTAATTTAAATATTGAGAAACACATGGCCAGACTATGGCCTATAATACTAGCATACTATATATACTCAGACTCTCAGTAAAGTTCTACTTCTCACATGATTATTATTTACAATATTGATTTATTACATTTAATGACCTGAAATTATGTAAATAAGCCATTAATAACAGAGTGGCCAGGTTGTCAAAGCTAAAATCTGATGAACCTCAAGGTCTTGAACTGCTAGGATATTTTAATAGTCAAACATCAGTTTCAGCGTTTCTTCAGCATTATTTAATTTGAGTGAGTTAATGAGTATTTTTAATATCCATGACAACTGCAGCTGGTCAGGGATTTGTTAAGGAAAAGGTTTAGCACCACATCGTAAAAACCTGCCCCCGAATCTCAAAATTTCATTATTTTGTTCCCTTACCCCTACATTTATACCTTTTGTGCCCTTGAGATATTTTAAAAATTTGCCTAACTCTACAGTGTGGCTTGTAACCTTGTTGCCATAAACATTTTCTGAATTAGGCTTCAATAAATTTCTGCTCTAACATGTGACAGAGATTGGGGCCATATGCATGAACAAGAAGAAATGGTTTCTTCATCTATCGATCCCTTACCTCTCGCCAAATTTTTAAATAAATTTATTGAATGATTTTGAAGTTTTCTAGATTATTGAAAATAAATTTATGGGTACAAGAAATGGGGCAAAAACAGTTAAATTAAGCAAGATGCAAGTAACAATGAATAAGTCCAGGTCACTGGATGGTATTTCAGCACACTGGTGGACACGCAACTTAATACCTGCAACCTGTGTCACATTTATATAGTTTTACACTGTACTGGAAAAATAATGTCAAGGAATTTGTAGAGATTCAGAATGTACACTACATGATTTATTCAATTACCTGCATGAATCATTTTCATGATATGAATTTTGTTTTAAATTAGTCTCACTTTATAGATAATTATATCAATTTTTAATATCATAAATGAATATAGTAGCTTTTGATTATACAAGTTATAATAATGTATCAGCAAATAATGACTGGTCTCTCTGAAATCCATATAGAAAGATTCAAATTTGACTTCCACTACCACTACTTGATCTGGCAGTTGCATCCGATTATTTGATTGGGTAGATGAAACTTATCTGGTTAGTTAATTATAGCAATAGCAGTAGTGGAAAACAAATCTGATCTCTCTATTATCCTTTGAAGATTTGCTCTGGTCACTTCAATTCAGGGTTGCCCATGCACAGTTATTGTTGACTTTGTAAGCACAGCTAGCTCTTCAAGTTGGAGATCCAGTTCTTAGGATTCTGCAAATTAATTCTGGAAAACTGGCTTTGGTTTGGGCTGAGCAAAAATCATCACACTGTTTATCATGCTGATTTAGTTGTTTAATAGTTAAAGTCCAGGCTGCATGTTTTTTTGTCCTGCATATGGCAGATGGGAAAGTCCCGTTCCCAAGTGTTTATGTGGGGAATTAATATTAATCCGGGCGTCTGAGCGAAGGTCTTGCCTGCTTTATGCAAGACCTTTGTGACGTGAGATTCCAATTGCTACACAGCATGATCTCGGGGCTCTTCCTCTGAAACAATGCTTGGTTGCGATATCATCCAGCAAGTGCAAAAATGCACTACCACGGTCAAGGATTATTTGGCATGTTCATCGACTATGTTAACCCATTGAGTGGCAGCATGCACTTTCCCCCTGACGAGTAAAATTGTCTGGCGTTAGACAGAGTAATTAACTAACAAAGTAGGGTGCATTGCCACTTAAAGGGTTAAACCTAAATACCACAGCACAACACTTGTACATATACAACGGCAATCCTTTTATATATTTAATGACTTCATATTTACATATTGGTGAAATATCAATGTCCATATATTAGGAATGTCCATGAACTTGTCCCTAGTTTGAAGCTGAAGTATTCATATCTTTTGTATCTGTTGTCCCTCTACTAATCAACTTTTAGTCATTATACAAGAGTTGAATTTGCATTCATTTGCTTCGCAAGTCGCAACAAACTGAACAAAGTAGTAAACCATAAACCTGTGCAATGATGAAGCGTCTTGAGCGACATATCCAAGTCTTCTTGTTCGCATACGAACAAATCTCACTGAGTTTTTTCCACAGAAACTATTGGTCCATTTGATCGATCGCCGTACTTTGAGAAAAGCTTGAAATGCAAAATTCACAGGGAAGATTGAAGAATTTCGGAGATAAAAACTGTTTGTCTTTGAGTTTCACCTCTAGAATTCACCCCCCGGTTCAGAAAAGTAACAATTACGTAATGTTGGAGGCTCGTGACTAGCGTTTACCAGGCTACGCCGCCGCCTTCAATTGCGGCTAGCCCTGGGTACGAGGTTGCCTTAATGGTAGCGGTAGTGGTAGTAAAAGTCAAATCTGAACCTCTCAGTATATTTGCTATTCTTTGTTTGCAAATTGCAATCACGTAACATTTCATTGATAGACCGAATCTGATCAGTTAAGTGTACTTGCATGGTATGTTTATGTAAATACCACAACTGGGTCACTCAGGGGGTAGAAAGCTTGTTAAACTTAGTGGGCCCGACTCCCACGATCGCGAGGCGCTGCCATGGTTGGCGCCGAGCAGCGAAATTTTGAAAATTTTGAGTCTCTAGATCGTTGGAAATAGCATTTTCAGAGTCTTCTTTTTTGCTATTTGTGATTAAAGAAATCAGAACTCTAGACATGGTATTTAAGTTCAAAAAATTTTATGACCCCTTTCTCGTTAAAACTTTTTGACCCCTTTTTATAAGAGTAAAACTTCGTTTGCCCCCCTCCCATTTCCCAACGCCCCCTCCCCATAAATAATGACCACTCCCTTATCATTTTTAAATTCACTTTAGCCTCTATAATCTCTATATTACCTTTGTCCAAATATCGTTGTACTCTAGCTATACCATCATAAAAAATTGTTTCATATGCAAATATTACCGGTGTGACATCACATCGCATAATGACATTTTGCAAACGCAATATTTTACATTGATAAAATATTTTTACAAACAAATACAGAGGGTTAATTACCAGTTATGAAATTAATACACATACAAGAGCAATTTTTAAGTTTTTTAGATACGTATTCGTCAAGAAAACTATACTTTTCTGAAAACTCATTATGTGATGTGATGTCACACCGGTGATGTTTGCATATAAACAAGGTTGAATATCTTGGAAAGGGAGCACTAGTTACCAAAATTCTATAAAAGAAATTATTAAGTCATTTTAAGTGATCTTTACAATGCAACCGTAAACCTTTGGGGTGAAATTTCGTGTCATAGGCACTTTAATGGAAAAGAAGGAATACATTGGTATTTTTTGTTTTCAGTCGACCAAATCTAATATGCATGTCAAATCATGCATTTCTTGTTTGTTTCAAGTATAAATGCCATATAATAAACTTTTTATTAACCTCGCTTGCTCGGTATATACAGAGAAATATCGGACCTCGGATATTGTATCGGTATTTCTCTGTCTGTACCTTGCGTATAAGAAGTTAGTAATAAAGATGCGTAATGGATTGAGGCGGTTATTGGCTACGGCATACCACGAGAGCGATATAAAATATATTTACGAATGTAAAATATATTACAAGGAGAACGAATATAATTTTTTTTATTGCCGCTATCACCTTTTCTTAAATTTAAATTGTCTTTTTATCAGCCGAAACAATGGTTATGCAATTTCCACCCCAACATCTGAACAATATCGAGGAGATGGAATAGGTAAGTCATAAGTATGCTAAATTTATGTATAGGTAATATAAGTAACATAAACTGTTAATAAAGACGGAAAATTTTACTTTATTGCAGCCAGTGACATATATAGCCAGGACTTCTAGTCAATGGGGGCCAAAACAACCCCAGGGGCCCGGGGCCCAAAATACCTATTTAATTATACAAACGAATCCAGAACATTTAAAACATAGGGAACCGCCTTGTTGGGTTGTTAAGAAGAGTCAAATCTATATAGAGAGCTCATGAGATGCTTTTATTTGGAATATGTTTTGTAAATGTTTTGGAAATGTTTTGGAAACTCTTGGTCATTTATAGTACAGTAAATGACTCAACAACATCTTGTTTCGTAGCTGGTCGTTCTCGAGATTGTGGTATTCGTTCAATAAGAGTTGACGGTAATGATGTCTTCGCAGTCTACAACGCCACGAAAGCTGCCAGGGAATATGTTGTTCGGGAGTCTAAGCCTGTTTTGATTGAAGCTATGACCTATAGGTATACAAATCCGTTGATATATTTTTTCATCTGCAGAGATTATAAAGATTAAAGTGCCTAAGACCCGAAATTTCACCCCAAATGTTTATGATTGCATTGTAAAGATCACTTAAAATGATTTAATAATTTCTTTTATAGAATTTTGGTAACTTGCTTCCTTTGCAAGATATTCAACTTTGTTTCATATGCAAATATTACCGGTGTGACATCACATCGCATAATGACATTTTGAAAACGCAATATTTTACCTTGATAAAATATTTTTACAAACAAATACAGAAGGTTAATTACCAGTTATGGAATTAATACATATACAAGAGCAATTTTTAAGTTTTTTAGATACGTATTCATTCAAAACTCATTATGTGATGTGATGTAACACCGGTGATATTTGCATATGAAACAAAGTTGAATATCTTGAAAAGGGAGCAAGTTACCAAAATTCTATAAAAGAAATTATTAAGTCATTTTAAGTGGTCTTTACAATGAAACCGTAAACCTTTGTGGTGAAATTTCGTGTCATAGGCACTTTAAAGTGCTTATGAAACGAAATTTTTGCCTTCTTTTTTATTGTTTTATTAAAAGGTACTGCTCAAATGATGAAGAATGACGTTTACAGTTTATTCATATCTCATTCCCAAGTTATCGCACTTTGTATATTTTGAGTGGTGACGTCACAAGAAGGACTTGCGATAATGGCAATAACAAGAAAGTCTATATATAGGCCGTATGCTGTGACCTCGAAAAGTATGGAGGGTGATTACCCCCAAAATTAATGTTTGAATTTTGCATTACAAGTTCTAAATTTTGTTGTTCGTTCCGTGCTTTGTGATATCAATTAATTGAATTTTGATATTAAAGAATTGAATTTTGATGTTCGCAATTGCATTTGCACTTCTGGTTGCGCATTTTGTCCTTAAGCATTCCATTGTGATGACGTAACATTATGCGTGACCCTCAGAATACAATTTTCAACACGATTTAATTATAATTTATTTCCCGCAAAAATTTTAATTATCTCTAATTATTCCAACATTATTACTTCGGCAGTTCGGCTGTTCAGCATACGGATAAAATGGCCGAGAACCGTTAAAAATCGCAAGAAGCAGCAACTTTATTACGCCGTGCAGCAAGCATTTTAATGCAAAATTCTGCTGAAAGTGAAGGATGTTGTGCAAGGAATAGCAATATGGGCATTACAGTGCGTCCAATTGAATTCAACCTGCCACAAGTCAACAAGCCACAACCTCTAGTCACGATGAATTTCGGCGACTATTCGCCCTGTACAATAGGGCGAACAATTGCATCCTCGTTCATCAACCTCCGGCGAAGCGCGGTCGAGGTAATTCTTTATTTATTATTTATTTATTTATTTGATTTTGCCCAATAATATTTATTTATTTACATGAAAATTCTAATATTAAGGAAGAAGAGGGCTAGGAGTCTATTTGAAACCATTTGGCTTTTTTACTTAGACCCCTAGAAATATATTTACAATTGTTTTTTTAATTAATTAAGTAAACCAGTTCAAAATCAAATTATTACAGTAGTCAATTTTGCGAATATATACGGTATATTATAATAATACAATTACAATTACAATTTGATATTCATAGTAATCAATAATCATAGAAATAATTCTTGGGGACAAACGCGTTCTTTTAAGCCACAAGATACGTGGACACACGATTTTTTTGTTTGGCAAACGCCACAAGTAGCTCGCTGAATTAACTCGTAAATAATGCACTTTAAAGATGTGAAATGTATGAAGTAAATCTTGATGTGAAATTGTGAATACGCTGAATACGATAATTTACAAATACAAACTCTTCACTTCTAAAAACTCCAGCAAAAACACTCCTTCAGCTCGAATATAAAACGCTTAGCAAGCGTCTTGTTTACTGTTAATTTATATGCATGATCATATTACATGTAACATTAAAATTATTTGTGGCAAATAAATTATAATTAAATACGAGTTGAAAATTGTCTTCTGAGGGTCACGCATAATGTTATGTCATCACAATGGAATGCAACCAGAAGTGCAAATGCAATTGCGAACATCAAAATTCAGTTCTTTAATATCAAAATTCAATTCATTGATATCACAAAGCATGCACGGAACGAACAACAAAATCTAGAACTTGGAATGCAAAATTTAAACATTAATTTTGGCGGTAATCACCCTGCATAGAAAAGTGCCTAGAAAGCGATTTTCATTTCACCTGTCTTGGAACTGAAATATTTTTGCGGGAACTTAACACTTTCGAACACGCTGAGTTTAAATCCGAAAAGTTCCCGCTCTATAGACCTGCAGTTTTCTCACAAAGTGCAATTTTATCTTCACTAATTTCACGACAACTTTTTTCATTGTTCCACGATACGGATCGATGACGACAAACGATTATGTCACTCAAAAAGACCAATTTCTATTAACCAGTCTTCCTTTTAACAAAAGACTGGTTTTGCTCAAATCATTTTGAGTTATGTTATATTATGCGTGTTGGACGTAAACAACATATCTTGTCTACAACTTTGGGAAGGTACAGATAAAGCTTTCTGAAATCCTCAGTTCTGGCTCTATCTCAATAAAATTACAAGGATGTTAATACTAAATCTTTTGGCTATGTCTCTGGGCTGAGAAATAATTCCTTACATGCGATCAAAATGTTTCATACAACGATGTAAAGCGGTAATGTTATGTAATGGGTCAGCATTTAAATTTCCAACACACTTTTTGAGACGTAATTCAAGAGGTAACTTATCATTGCATTTGAACTATTATATCAGTTGATGTTGGAAAGAGGGCTTTCATATACGTTGTAATCACCAAATAAACAGCTCATGCACACATTTCTCCACTTCGTCGTAAGTTTACAGAGCAGATTTTATACTTTGGCACTGATATTTGTCTTTAATGTGAACATTTATTCTTCTAGTTTAAGACTTTAAGAGTGAACCTGTCGTAAGTCTTCCACCAGCAACCCATCGACAATATTTCATTTTATTGTTGTCTTTGCCGTTCCGTTGGCTTCGCGTTACTTTTGTTTTAAATACCTTGATCGCGTTAAAAGAGTTATTTCTCAGCCCAGAGACATAGCCAAAAGACTTAGCATTAACGTGCTTGTGATTTTATTAAGATAGAGCCAGAACTGAGGATTTCAGAAAGCTTTATGTGTACCTTCCCAAAGTTGTAGACAAGATATGTTGTTTACGTCCAGCACGCATAATATAACATAACTCAAAATGATTCGAGCAAAACCGATCTTTTGTTAAATAGCCCGCGTGCAGGCCCAAGGGAACTGATAGTGGGCCTGCAAGCAAGGCCCGGTATTTTGTACTTTCCGCGTTCGTCCACGAACGCGGCATTCAACTTCCGTCGCAGGGACTTTCCACCGGCTGGGAAAGACCCTGCTATCGGCTGGTCACGTGTCTCCCAGAATCTGGGAGATAACAAACAATTTCAATTAGGGTTCAAATATAACGGAGCGGTAGTATGGAATAATTTACCGTATGAGGTAAAAGTAGCGGAATCTTTAAGTTCTTTTCAAAGAACTATTAATCAGGCAAACACTTAAAATTGGCTCGTCCTGTTGCCTACTGTACATATAATTCTTCTTTCTTTGTTTTTGTATTTTTAATGTTTACCTATACTGTATATTTCTTCAAATCACGCCCCTCATGGAAATCAGCTCCTAGTTGTTGAGGCCAGCGTGCTAAAATAAATTTTTGTATGTATGTATGTATGTATGTAGGGTGGGTACCTAAGTACGTTTTGTCATTGAGCAAGGAGTGAGCGAAGAAATAACTCAGAAATCATGCAGGAAATATTTACAAAATTGTATATTTTATTTGTCATGAAGACTATCAATGTTACACAACAGTAAATATCAAATTTCATTGTGCGCAGAATGTCGGTGAGCAAAGATAGATCAGATTTCAATAGACAAATTATGCCGCCGATACAGCTCGTCGAAGAAATCAACACGTCGAAAACGTTACAAGAAAATATATTTCTACACCAGTACCGATCGATGTGGCTGTTATTTAGCTGTTCATATCTATCCTAAAGGATTTATTTAATACTGAGATGTGTAACGAAATATATAGAGATCTTTTGATTTCTGAAATATCGCAAACTATGTTACTTTGTAAACAATGCTACTCGGACTGCTGAAACTTCAGTACCATCCTCAGAGCTTGATGCTCAAGAAATATGTCGAAGTATACCTCCCTGTTATCAAACCTACGGTAAAATAATCCGACAATAGCCTACTCAAAGATAAGTGATAGATTCGTCTGTGCGTGTACGTTACAAATACGAATACTGAATATGTTTGACTGCTTTGACATTTGAATAGAGAATGCAGTCCTCATGATAAATTTGATAAATAGCTTTACTGTAATGAAATTACTTTACTGTAATGAAGTACTTTGTGAAATATAATACTGAATCAAACTCTATGCAAGAGTTAATATATCTGTGGTGGGTACATATGGCTATATATGACTGCATATGCATATCAGACTGAGTGTAATATCAGTGTTTATGCCGTTGTCTATTCCGTGGTTTATGGCATTATCTATGACTATGTTCATATTTATATAAAGTGTGTACTGTATATCAGAAAAATACTGTTATAAATATTGCTGTTACCCCATTACTTAGTGCATGGAGGCCAAAAAATTATCAGGCTAAAGCCGTGCCTGAGGCTGAAAATTGTTGTACTTTTCGAGTTGTACTTTACTACCTGCCAACCTCCTACCCTACCGATCTACAGGGTTTCTAAAAAAATATGATGAACTATTTAATTAAAAGTATTTTCAGAGATAAACCATCGACAGTTTTAAAGTGAGCATTTAGTCCCTGTTCGGCAGTGTCCACATGTTTACATTGTGATTTGTGACAAAAAGTTAATTACATTTCAAAATTTTATCAACCTTCACTATAAAATGAGACGCGTACTATTAGTAAATCTGCACAAAGTTTATCAACGTTTTCAAACAACAAATCTAATGTCATATTTTCGGAACAGATAAAAGTGAAAATATACAAACGTTGAGGACTGACCAGTTTGATATGAAAATATGTTTCAAGGGAATACCTAGGCTCAGATTCCAGCCGTTGTGTTCACAACGGCTGGAATCTGAGCCTAGGGAATACCCAACTTCAAAGTTTAAAGTATACATTTTATTTGTTTCTTGACTTGACTGTTGATAAAATTCTACAGTGTTTTTGTAATTTAAAAGCAAACGGAGGTATAAAATAGAAGTTAGCGGACGCTTCGAACTATATATCGTAAAATCCCACTCCTGGTATTTGAAATGCAATTTGATACTCTGCCACTCCCCCTTGGGCAATCAATTTTTGTCGAGTCACATGACCAGCCGATACCAGAGTCTTTCCCAAAAAGACGCTGGGTACGAGGATGCGCGGCATTCTGATTGGCTGTTTGCTGTTCGATTCTATAATTAGGTCAGTGATTCATCACAAAGGCATAGACAAAGGCTCTCGATCAGCTTAAAATTCGAAAATTGATCACTTTTTTCGATTACAAATGGAACAAGAACAGACTGTTTATTGTTTACTTTAAGGAAGAAATGTTTTGTCGTGAGGTGTTGGAATAGCAACATTTAATACGACTGGGGTAAACTATAGTAACCTTTACTTGAGTTTCATTAATTTCAAACAGACTTGATACGTTATATATTCCTCAAGAAAATGATCTTTTGGTTGATGCCGGAGATGCAGTTGCATGTAAGCCTATTCAAAATACTTTGCGATTTACAAGGCTTCGCTGAGAGAGCAAAACAGAAGACGGTATTAAATTGCCGTTTGAAACGAAACGATCTGGACTCTGAACGCTCTCTTCTTTTGTAGAGTTCTCACCAAATGAAATAACTGAAATAAATTTCGTACTTTCCGCCGCCAACAAGAATTGCACACGCGATCTGATAAGTGAGACAATTTATTTATAACAATGGCGACAGCGAAGCACACATTATAAATGCTGATGTGGTCACACGACTTCCCTCACGATTTGAAGTTTGAGACTGGTTTTCTGTTGAAATTCGTCTTAATTTGCCTGTTCCGATTTTAGTTGAAAATGAGCACTTGCAAATTTGGCAATTACTGACTGCGTTGCTTGCTTTTTTGGAGTTTTAACACAGGCATTTGCACATTGTTTCTATTTTGAATATTAAAGCAGAGAAAACCCCGCAACATTTTAATGCGAGTATGTTTGTTAATATTTGGGTTGCTGTCATTGGTTCTTTTTTGACAATTGACGCGCGAATGGGGCGTGTTATGAAAAGGAGCGTTTTACAAAATACCGGGCCTTGCTTGCAGGCCCACTATCAGTTCCTTTGGGCCTGCACGCGGGCTAATTGTTAAAAGGTAGACTGGTTAATAGAAATTGGTCTTTTTGAGTGACATAATCGTTTGTCGTCATCGATCCGTGTCGTTGAACAATAAAAAAAGTTGTCGTGAAATTAGTTAAGATAAAATTGCAGTTTGTGAGAGCGAGGAACTTTTCAGATTTGAACTCAGCGTGTTCGAAAGTGTTAGTTCCCCAGCCTAGTCCAAGTCGTTCTGAAGCAAGCGCGAGAAAAAACGTGGATGTAATACGAGACTGGGACCTACTGTCTGAAAATGACATAAAAAAAATATCGATAATTTTCACCCAAGGCAGGCCTTTTACTATAATTTTTTTATGCTGCCATTGCTTTAGGATAACAAACAGATTGTTTAAACTGGTTTAATTGTTTTTTAAAGCATATTTATAATTTTGTGGGTGAGCGACTTTTGGGCATGATATGCGCTTTGCTGAACTAATTATGCAGACGCAGTAAGACGAGTTTTCAACAAAAGTACTTTAAGTGCGGAACCAAATTCTCACTAAATATAACAGACTATAGAGTTGTTTTAGTGTATACGCATCCGAAGCGCTCACTATTTTCAGATTTTTTATAAGAAACGCAGCCCAACGGCGACTGTAGAGCGCCTTTAATCTAACGGTGACGTCACACGGTACACGGCTGTGTAGCGTGGTGATTAAAATATTTAAGCTGTGTATTCTTTACTATACGCTACACAGCCGTGTACCTAGACTTTCCAAAGTCCTTTCCAGACCCTTCTATGGCGCGCTTCGCTTCCTCTGTGGAAAGGACTTTTGTCACTTGCAGCGCGCCAAATATCACCGGTGGAAAAATCCACCGGTGACGTCATTGTTTACATTGCCGATTTGCCGAAGCGGTTTACATTATTATTATTGTATTACAATATTACATTCTCAAGCTTTCTTGTTGAACAAATGTGTACTATTGAAGCAAATAGAGTAAACAATGTAATTACAATTTTGTAGAACACAAAAACCATGTGAAAATATACAAACAAGCATTACATTGAGTATGCTATATTTAAAAGTACAGGATGTCGAAATAAACTTTATTAATCAGTGTCACCGCGTACCGAAGATGCATCTAATGATTCTAAAATTTCCACACTAGTTTCGGGTTTAGTTTGGGTTTCTTGATCTCGATTACTGATTATTAATACAAAATCATTTGTTGAGAAAACAACGCGTATTTTTACCGGATTTTGAACTCTGGCGTTGATCACAATCGCCGCCTCTCTGCTTCGCGGTTACAGTTGTCTGATTCTTTTCAATTAGATTATTAAACTTCTACTACTAATATTAAATCGCTCGCGAACTGAATCAACTTTCTATAATAAGTCTAATAAATTACTTTTCTTGTTGGCACAATTACGGCACACATTGTTAGACAAACAACTGTCCAGATAACAGATTCAATAAATTTTTACATGCACTTGTTTTTGTTGATACATTAAACAGCTTTCGGCGCTTACTTGGGTCAGTTATTTCGTTTCCACACTCGGTGCAAACTGTTTCATTCGAGGACAAAGAAATATCAATTCTTGGGAATGTTTTTGTAGACCAATTGACGGCGCGGTGAAGTAATTGTATGAAATGTACACACCCCTTTTATGTCAAAATTATTCGCGCCAAAATTTTTAATGTGATTTAAATTCCTGCAAGGAACACAAGTCGACCACTCGCGACTTCGTCGCTCGGGTCGCGTGTTCCCTTCCCCGCGCCCTCCCTCCGCCATGGTCGACTTGTGGCAAGTCTACCGTGTACCGTGTGACGTCACTGTTAGATTAATTTAAAGGCGCTCTACAGTCGCTGTTGGGCTGCGTTTGTTATAAAAAATCTGAAAATAGTGAGCGCTTCGGATGCGTATACACTAAAATAACCCTATAGTCTGTTATATTTAGTGTGAATTTGGTTTCGCTGCACAGCCGTGTACCGTATCAATTTACTAAACTTTCAAAATAATATAACTTACACATTTGTACAGTTTTATACAGTTATATTGTATGAATACACGGGAATATGATGCTCCATGCTGCAAACTCATTGCAAAATGTTGCAGGCTAACAAAGGATCTACATTATGATTTATGAAATGCATGTATTACCAATAATGCAAATGATTCATGCTCAGAAAATAAAGATAGATCTGTTTAGCTCTAAGTTATGAGGTAAACAAACCTCGCATTTTTTTGCTGAACATTTTGCACTGTCTGACTAAGTACTATAAGACATCGTCGTTCTCCACAATGTTCAAAAATTTATTATACGAATATATTTATTTTTAGAGTTGCTGACTAAGTTGTAATTGTATAAATCCCGATAATACGTAAAAGGCCACTTGACATGTAATGTGATAGGTGACACTTAACGTAGATCGGAAAGTAAAAAAAAAAACTAAATATAACCTGATTTACTAATTGTTTGCTCCTTTTGCTAAACAAACAAGCCTATTTTATTATTGGATCGAGCCTTAAATTCATGAAATCGGACGGTTGGAAATATGTGATAATTTCAGACAATCCTGGCAAAAATTATCGTGGACAGCGCGTGCGTCAAACAAAAATAGGTCTATTTCTACATAATTAATCCGCCAGAAAATTTCTCCCCCTCCTACCCCCAATTCAATGTTGGTAAATGAAGCTTTTAAAATTTGAATGCGAGATACAACATTGAATAAGGGGCTGGAGAGCGACAAATTTCATGAAAGAACGTCTCAATGTTAATATTGGCGTTAGAAAAGTTAGGTGTCCACATAATTTTTGCCAGGATTGTAAGTGTGACGTCACTGCTAAAGGTGCTTCAGAACCACTGAGCTATACTTATATATCTGGAGATCGTGCTCTCGACGAAAGTGTGTGGCCAAAAACATGGCGGATTTGACGTCACAATCGACCTATTTTCATGGGGGTTTCCACTGACTCGTGGCTCGAATGTTCGTGGGCGACAAAGTTCAACCCCCCCTGGATTTTACAGTGATTTTGTATGTTTATATTAGTTGATCGACAGAGAGTATATTTTTGATTTTCGTCCTTTTGAAAATACAGTATTATTCTAACTGCGCGTATAAATCAATAAAGACCGAAAGCCATTAATAAAAAAAGACATGAATGGAGCTTGACGGCCACAAGAACAAAGCATGTAAGTCATTGAAATGATTTATCAATTCTTGTTGTATTGTGAATTGGTTGCAACTGAACTGACTATCAAGATTATTCTTTAAAACACGAGTATTATAACAATCCCCAGCAAGTAAAATTAAGCAAATATAGCTTGTTGAAAACCGTACTGCTATAAATTTCCCTGAGTGACAAAGGTTTTTTTAGAGATTTTAATACCAGTTTATTCTATTAGTAAATTGTGGGGAAAAGCAACTCTTTGGAATATAAAGCACTTATATCACCATTAAAGTGGGATTTGAACCTACAACCTTTGGAATACTGGCCCAATGCTCTGCCAACTGAGCTATACAGTCGGGGCAGTTCGAGTATGCGATATTTCGGAACTGAGTCTAGTTCCTTCGATATCAGTGTAATCTAATAACCATGATATTTGTGAATATGATGCTTGTGTGATGTTACTCTGAGTGCATATCCACACCGGGCAAGCTTGAAAAATATGCCAAGCCACATTGGGATTCAAACCGACCTGACCGCGTAGCTCAGTTGACAGAGCATTGCCATTTGGGCTAGTATTCCAAAGGTCGTAGGTTCAAATCCCACTGTGGCCAGGCATATTTTTCAAGCCTGCCCGGTGTGGATATACACTCAGAGTAACATCACACAAGCATCTCATTTCATCATGTTCCTCCAGATATTCATACACTTCCTGTGAAAGAGCCAATTCCAAGTATTTAATCATTTCTGGTCACTTCCTTTCTATTTATAATTGGTTAGTTGCACAAACAACAAAGGTGATTGGTGCATTCAAACCATTTAACAGGAAGTTTACAATTATACTAGGAAGTGTATGAATATCTTGAGGAACTTAATCAAATGAATTGGTTAGCCCAAGGTAATGTATTGAATCAATATTTGAGGAACACTTCAATTGGAACGACAGTGAAGAATTATTAAAAAAAATATTTTATTCAAAAAAAGATTTTCCAAGATAATTATATAATTACATTTAGTAATAAGAATAAATAATATATTCAATTTCAAATCACAACAAAATTTATTCTTTATTTTTAAACACATACAAACACCAATTTAATTAAATAAACTGCTCAACCAATTCTATGCATGTCAATCCCTACTTGATGGTCAGCACCTACAGTAATTATGCTAGCCTAATTTGTACACTAACCCAAATGGTCAAAATAAATGTAAATGTAGCAATCTTGGCTTAGCTAAACAGACCAAAATGTGTACAAATAACTTAAAGTTGTTAGCAGAAAAATTAAGGAATAAATTTAACCCATTGAGTGGCGAAGCACCCTATTTTAGTATTTTACTCTGTCTAACGCCAGACAATTTTACTTGTCAAGGGGAGAGCACTGGCGCTTAATGGGTTAATTACCCCTCATGTACAGTATGGCCATTAATTGTACTGATAATAAACTGTAAAGATCACAACCAAGCTGACCAAAGCAATCATTAAAGATTGTTGGTACAGCATATGGCTTTAACACTGGTCTCTGGCTGTAATCATCCTCAAAGATATCGGCACTAAAATGCTTTGAACACAAACGACTATTTTTCATAGAAACAAACTTCACTCTGTCTGGCATAAGTTTGCTTATATTCTTCACCCATATGCTGTGCAATTCAGGGAATCTCTTCTCATCTGGAAAGCTTTGAAGTAAATGAACAATTGTTTTTAGTGTCTAGTTAATACACTGTTCAATACGATACCTATAACTTACAATATAAACAATGCCACACTAGACAACACATGGTTTAGTCCACAATAAAGACAATACAATGAGTGAAAGGCTTTGTACATTTAAAGCTAGTCGTATCTTTATCACATTGTTAAAATTCTCATTTGAATTTTTTTAACATTAAGCATTATCTGTTAGGATATCGATAAGATTTCATCACTGCATCACATCCATCAACTTGCATGAAAATAAATACTTGCTCAACAACAGCTCCACAAGCTTGTCAACATTTTAAAATTTTGTTCTGCTTTTGCACTGTAGTACACTAACATTGTATTGTATGTTGCTTGCCAATAAATTTCATGAATTCACAAATTTACGCATTCAATACAGCAATACAGCATTGCGTTAAATTATTAAAAAAAAAGAGATTATACGAGCCTTACGCATGTGAGGACAGGTCCTTTCTTTCAGTAGATTTTTGGCAACCAGGAATTGAACAAAAAATTGGCATGGTTGCAAATGTCTCGTTTCAATATAGAAATTTCCGACCGAAATTTTGAATTTACTTCCTTCTGTTTTAAGCAAATTGAAAGGGGGGTGTGAATAACTTTTTTCTTCACGTTTGTATTTTAGGTCAGTGGTGTTCACCATAAATTTAGGTCGATTGTGACGTCAAAATGACGTAAATTTGGCCAAAATCCGCCATGTTTTTGGCCACACATTTTTGACTGACGAGGTATTGGAGCACGATCTCCAGATATATTAAGTATAGCTCAGTGTTCAGAACGCCTAGCAGATTTCAGTATTTTTAATATGGCGGAAAATTTATAAATACAAATAACCTTGTAAATACGACAATGTTCGTTGATCATGTTCGATGTCTACATAACCAAATTTAAACTGTGCTCAATGAAAAAAATTTATATACAAATTTACGATACCGAGTCTGAGCAATGGTCGTATATAATCGTTGATGTTATTTATATACTCGCAAGTTGTGATCAACACAGACCATACTGGTATACAAAACTACGCTTTCTACTTGACATGTAGAGATTTAAGTAGCTGAGGAGATTGGAAATATTTGCCTGACATGACTGTTTGTCAAAACATTTTTAGTCGGAGACTCCGGCATAATTTTCAAGCTTCTAGATAGCATTTAACATGGCTTTATATTTTAGTGAACACGAGTCATATTTTGCCCGTTATTCCATTCTGATCGTATGGTAGCGAAACGTAGACTATTTCATTGTTCCGACAGCATTAGAGCAAAACTAATGACTTAATTATAAACGCAAAGGAAATTTCCATAACATTTTCCATTTACAAATGCGATATGCTTGGTAACCAGGTCAGGGCCCGTTTTTTTGAAATCAGGGACCACTTTACCGAAATCTGCTAGGCTCTCTCGCTGAAGCGTTCCGCACAGCACACCCATGCAGGCATAAAACTTTAAAGACTTATTTAAATATATCAAAGCAGCGAATAGAGAGAGAGCCTGGGACTAGGCTGTTAGTTCCCGTAAAAATATTTCACTACCAAGATGGGTGAAATGAAAGTGAACGATATCGGGACGCAGCAAACGGCCTATTAATAAAATTCAATGAAACTTGGCACACCTAGTGGGTGCATCTATATGAATATTTTTGGAAGGTCATGTGGTTGCCATGGCAACAGACTAGTCCCCAGTCTCTTCTCTTCCTTTTCACGAATGTTCTCCTGTGGACCTCTGATAGAGGATGATGTTTGTCATGTTACTCTGAGTGTATATCCACACCGGGGGAGCTTGAAAGGTGGTAGATTCGATTCCCTCCGTGGCCGGGCATATTTTCAAGCTCGCTCGGTGTGGATATATACTCAGAGTAACATCACAAACATCATATTTACCTGAGTACACAACACCAACACAGAAAAAATCATATTACTAGATTACATGGTATCGAAAGAACTAGATTCTGTTCCGAAATATCACTTACTCGAACCGTCCTGACCGCGTAGTTCATTTGGCAGAGCATTGGGCTAGTATTCCAAAGGTCGTAGGTTCGATTCCCTCCGTGCATAGTTTTCAAGCTCGCCCGGTGTGGTATACACTCAGAGTAACATCACAAACATCATATTCACCTGAATACACAACACCAACACAGAAAAATCTGGAAGAGGATGTTTGCATGTTATAACTGTTTAAACTGATCACAATACCTACACGTATTATATTAATGAGCGAAAATTGCAGAAATTGCTATTTATTTCGTTGGAAATTGATCACATAGAAATTGGAAGAAAAGGGAATGGGGACGAGTGTGTTGCCATGACAATCATATAAACAAGCCAAATTGTTGACCTTGTTACACCCACTAAGTTTGCCAAGTTTCATTGAATTTTATTAAACGGTCACCAAGATATCAGACTTTCTTGTTATTGCCATATCTCAAGTCCTTCTTGTGACGACACAACTCAAAATATACAAAGTGCGATAACTTAATGAGATGAGATACGAATAAACTGTAAACGTCATTCTTCATTATTTGAGCAGTATCTTTTAATAAAACAATAAAAAATGAGGCAAAAATTTCGTTTCACAAGCACTAAACTTAATTTTGAGTCGAAAACATGCACCCATGAGCATATTCAAACATTTTCTAGAGGTAAAGTAAATTTTATATTTAAAAATTTGAGTAAATTTTTATTAGATTTGAGTATAAATTTACTCAAAATTTTAAGTTACTGTGCATTATTTTTTACTCAAGTTCTTGAGTCAAAATTATCAGTGGTTTTTGCAGTAAAGGATATTTAGTGTATAAAACTGCACGACTGATCAAGCAGCGTCCATTCCACGCCCATTCCACACTCAGCAAAATGTTAATTTTTATTTCATAGCACGTGTTCATGATCAGCCAAATAAATTACCAGAATTTAATGAGGTGCTATATAATGAACATTGTTACATTGATGTAGGGTTGGCGACCACAGCACTAATGTGGATTCCGAAGGATATCGTACGAAAGATGAAGTGGATTACTGGTTTAATCAGGACAATCCAATTGTCAGACTAAGGTTTGTTTCATATAGGACCTCCAAAAGGTTTAGCTCGTAAAAAGATTGGTAAATTTGTTGTACTGTATAATAACGATATAGTTGCTCAGGCGCGGATCCAGCCTAAACCCTGACCGTGGCGCACTCCAAAACCGTCAATAATTAGGGGGGTCCGGGGGCATTCCCCCCCGGAAAATTTTTGAAATCTGAACCCCGGAAATGCCATTTCCTGAGTTCTGAGCATCGAATTCTATCATATAATTCGTCATTAATTACGCCATATTTTAGAGAGCAAATAACGAAACGCACTAAATAAGTCAAATATTTAAACAACATACCATGTTCTTCAACGTTACAACATTAGAATGTTACAAAATCAATGTACTTACATAAAACCACAACTCTGTACCGCATGTACTGTTCCTGTGTATTTCAGGTTCTTCGTAGCAAAAAA